GCGGGGGGTGGGGTGGGCGCCGACAGTTGTGTTACCGCGCCCGCCCCCCCCCCCGCCACCACCGGGCCCCCTCTTTCTTTCCCCCCCGTTTCCCCCGTCAGCCTGCTCGGGCGCCGCTTCCGCCTCCTCTAGGGTTGCGTCGTGGCTCAGTTGGTGGCGTCGCTGAGGTTGTCGTTGTGGGGGCAGGCTCAGTCGTAGCTGTGCTGGGGGATGTCTCAGCAGCAAGCGCCTGTGCAGCGCTTGGTTTGGGCGAATTCACAGTCGCTGGGGCCGCAGCGGGGGATGCAGTCCTTGTTTTCCCCTGTCCAGAGGTTCCTTGATTTTGACCGCCACCACCTCCACCTCCACCCCCTCCGCCGCGTTTGCTTTGTTGGCTATGATGCGACTTGTTCTCCAACACAACGACTTGACCCTGCGCGACTTTGACTGGGCTGGCTGCCATCGCCTTTTTCAACGCCTCAGGGTCTTGGAAGTCGACATAACCTAATCCCTTTTTCTTGTCGATCTCACAGCGTGTGATTGCCCCGAATTCCTTGAAGACCTGTTGCAGGAGGTCCTCCGTGATGCCCTGAGACGGGTTCGCGTGCTTGAGGAACGCGGATTTCGCGCCTGTGGTGGGCTGCTGAGAAGACGAGGTTTTGGATTGACGTTGATTGGCTGGTGGTCGGCCCGACGACGCTGACGCTGCGCTAGATGGTTCTGATTTTGTCGACGTAGTGTTTGGAGTGCGTGAAGCGCGTGGGCCGGTTGGCGGAGCCGCAGGCGAAGCGGTTGTAGGTGTCACTGGCGTTTTGGACTGCTCTGTCAAAGGTCCTGAAGACTTGGAAGTGGTAGAAGTCGACGGTTTTGCTGCTGAGGATGAAGTCGTTTTGTCGTTTGCGGTAGCTGTATTTGATGATGGAGACTTTGGGGTGCGTTGCGAGGTGTTTTCTTTTGCTAGCAGTCCCAGATCCCGTTGCAGCATTCGAGCAGCAGCCCTTCCGCTGTCCCGCTCTCGATTTCGCTCTCGTTTCGCAGGTGTTGTAGCAGGTGCTGATGCCGCGCTTACGCCTGGAGTTGCTGGAGACTGTGGTCGAGGATCCTTTACTAATGTCTGTTTACTCTCGGATTTTGCGGATGCCGTCTGCTTTCCTTGTGAAGCAGGTGCCGATTTATTGGTCGACTTCACTCCATCCTGGGTTGCTTTGGCGACACGGTCCTTTTCCTTCTCTGTAGAGTTGGGGGTATTCTTGCCCTTGATGATAACAGTCGGGGTGCGCTCACTCTTAGTGGGCTTCGCCTCCTTACTTTCGCGCTTCGCTGCTTTGGCCTGGGCAGCTTCCTTGGCCTTGTTGGCCTTCTTCTCTTTGATATATTGGACCAGCGGAGTGACAGTGATCGTGTCCGCCTTGATGTCAGTAGCTTCGGCTCCATTTGACGCTGGTTTGTTGATGGGTTCAGTCAGACTTTGCAGGAAATCGATAAATTCTTGGTCCTGATCAATGGTGCCTTGTCTGCCATCATGTCGGACGCGAGGAACGGGCATCTTATTGTAGGGTGCAAATTCGAGAGATGGTGGTCCTAGCAGACAAGGGTCTCTGGTGGTGTTTTTGGCATCCTGGAATGATGATTCTCTGACCACTTTAGATAAGACGTCCAGCAGTGTTTGTTCCTTGACTTTGAGATAAGCTCTGGCTGGTCGAGAGGGTTTTGCTGGACTATGTTCGGTCAGTGAGATATCAATCGGTTTCTAGAGGCAAAGCACAATACTCTTTTGAGACCTTCCCGTCTTTGTACGCAGCCCACTCTACTTTGCCGTTGCCGACTTTCCAGTCATCGCCCAGAGTGGCCCAGAATTCAGTCTCGGTCAGTCCAGGGGGCAAGCGGCGAACGATCAGTCTAAGTCTTGGTGCTGGCGTTCTAGGAGATGATTTCGACGCGGACTGAGCAGTTGCATTTTTCCTGGTCGCAGCGTTCACAGGCAGGACACCTGCTGCTGCGCGAGTCTTAGAGTGACCAGACATTTGTTGTAGGATTTTGAGTCGAAAGTGAGAAAACAATGAGAGAAGGTTGTCTGTTTGTATGAGACCGCGAATGAGTCACCGTAGGCCCGATATTCATCGAGAGACAATAGCAGCATATCATTCATGTGACCGCCAGTGAATGAACAACATGGTCAACAGTGAATACAGAATGATAGGAGGGGCGTTCGCTTTCCCATAAATATCGGCCCTCCCACCCTTCTCGGAACGGATTTACCTTTTGCCGATTTTAGATGCTCACGTGCCGCGATGTCTACCGCGGCGACCCCGTCGCCAACAACTCCCTCCCACTCCACCACCACAGGCCGCAATTTGGACGCCGCCATAGAGACGGCGGACGTTCCAGAAGCATTCCCCGTCTTCGAAGAAGACTCTCTTGAGGGTTCGCCCTCTTCACCGCCTTGTCCCTCCCCCTCCCCCTCCATCCGCCGCCGTTCTCGCCAAGTCAACGAGAACGACCGCCGCGCCTTCTTTGGCTTGCCCAAGCCGAAGGTATTTAACTACGTCGACCTCGTCAAGGCCCTGCGAACTCCCCCTGCCCCCGGCTATCTGCCAAAAGCCCCAACCAGCCAGTTGGGCACTGATTCTACGTACAAACGGGCAGATCCAAGCCAGCTCACCTCTCTCACACCGGCGCCATGGGCGCAATTAAAGTCCCAGTCCCAGGGCCAGCACGCCTCAAGCGATCAGCAGGACCCGACGAGTGGCTCGAAGCAGCAAAAAACTGCAAGTACCTCTCAGAATACCACATGAAGCAGCTCTGCGAGATTGTCAAAGAGTTCATGATGGAAGGTTTGTCATCCAGTGCCAGAGCCTTCTGAGCTGCAATTGACCGTCTTACCAGAATCAAATATCCAACCCGTTTCTACGCCTGTCACGATCTGCGGCGATATCCATGGTCAATTCTATGACTTACTCGAACTTTTCCGAGTCGCAGGGGGCATGCCTAATGAATCGGCGCCCGAAACACCCGTTACGCCCGCAAATATCATCACTTCCGCAGACATTGAACCGCCTTCTACCATCACAGACCCGAAACTCAAGAAGAAACTGAAACTGGGAGGATCCGAACACCCTGATACGCCAAGCGAGAAGAGCAGTGAGATTAGCGACGCTGAAGAGATACCCTCATCACAACAATCCGAGATTGAGGACGAGAGATCAGAATCAGGTAACATCATCTCACGCAAACAAAACGCCAATTTCATCTTTCTTGGAGACTACGTTGATCGTGGATACTTCTCCCTTGAAACACTCACACTTCTACTTTGCCTCAAAGCGAAATACCCCGATAAAATCACCCTGGTCAGAGGAAATCACGAATCTCGCCAGATCACCCAAGTGTACGGCTTCTATGAGGAGTGTGTACAGAAATATGGAAACACTTCAGTATGGAAAGCCTGTTGCCAAGTCTTCGATTTCATGACGCTGGGAGCCATAGTAGATGGCAAAGTTCTGTGTGTACACGGTGGCCTCTCCCCAGAAATCAGAACCCTCGATCAAGTCCGAGTTGTCGCACGAGCACAGGAAATTCCGCACGAAGGCGCGTTCTGTGACCTTGTATGGTCAGACCCCGAAGATGTTGAAACATGGGCAGTATCACCTCGAGGAGCCGGATGGCTGTTTGGCGATCGAGTTAGCCAGGAATTCTGCCACGTCAACGGACTCAACCTCATTGCAAGAGCACATCAACTCGTCAACGAAGGCTACAAATATCACTTCAAGAGTCAGGACGTGGTGACAGTATGGAGCGCCCCAAATTACTGCTACAGATGTGGAAACCTGGCATCGGTATGCGACATTGGCGAAGACATGAAGCCAACCTTTAAGCTTTTTAGCGCTGTCAAGGATGAGCTACGACACGTTCCACCATCAAGAGGTGGACGAAATGAATATTTCCTTTGAGGTTGAAACCCTTGAGGTTGATGACGATGGGACAGTTGACCAGGTAGCGCCAGGAAGGATGGGATGAGCTTGGAACGGGTGAATGGTGATTGCTTGGGCTCTGGTGCCAGATTTCATGAATTCTAGCATAGCGAGGGCGTGAAGGAGGGCTCATGCGTGCATGTAACAAATATCCAGAGAGCTGGTTATAGAGCTGGCTTGGAAATGATGATCCTGTATCTCAGTGCTTCTTGTTCTCACACCAACCGGACTCTTGCCGATTGACTCGGACGAAGCGCCGCAGCCTTGTCCGTGGGCTGCTCTAGTCGTTAAGGTTGTCTACTCCAAAATTGGAGATGCGCATGTCGCAAACTCCGATCTCGCAAGTCAGTAGTACATAATCTCGCGCACCCAGCCCATCTAACATATACAGAAAACCATGCAACGGACATGCGAAGGTCAGCTATCTGCCTCTTCCGGCAATCCCTGAAATGTGGCCGGATCAATCTCATTCAGATCCAGAATGGGACTTTCTACAAAGAACATCCATCGGTCGATCGCCATGACTCATCCTCAAACCCACCCCTGTTCCCAGACCTGACATTCGAGCTGCCTGCGACGGTCCAAGACAAAGCTCGCCCTGTTGAGAGGAAGAACGAGCATTGGGCCGTCATCAGTGCATCGGACGGCGCAACGTTTCTCGAGATACTACGGGGTTCACACATCTGTTTGCCGCCTAGTGCGAGGTCGTACCCTTACCTGGCCTCTGCCTACATTGATGACCAGAAGGACCACCGTCTTCGTGTCCCTACACGCGCCATTCAGTATGTGGGCTTCAACAGCGCAAAAGGACAACTGGCCGGGGGATCAGGAGGGGTAAGAGGCGCATACCTCAGTGCTCGCTATGAGAGTCGACGGGAGGAAACAGATTGGACCGTCCTGCAATATCTCAAGGGCGACACAGAGCTCAATCCTGGACAAAAAGCCCCAGATGGTGGCGTTGACAGCCATCTCCTTGACAAAGTCATCTCGGATCTCCGTCTGGGGAAGTTGACAAACATGCCAGTGAGCAACCTCAGCAATGGACAAACAAGACGCGCGAGGATTGCTAAGGCATTACTGGGGAGACCACTCCTTCTCCTGCTCGATGAACCGTTCATGGGCCTTGATCCTCCTACATTGGTGACCCTGTCGCCCATGTTGAAGAGGCTGGCATATCAGTCGACACCGCTTTTGATGCTCGGGCTACGCCCTCAGGACCCAATCCCAGATTGGATAACCCACCTGGTTGTGCTTGGCCATAACCATACAGTGGCATTGATGGGCGAAAAGTCCAAAGTGTTGTGGGATATACGGAGGTGGGTAAATCTGGTCTCTGCAACGGATATTTCAGCTGGGGACCAAAAGGTTGTCGATCAAATCACGAAGGACTATGGCCTTCCGTTGACTGGCGTCACGGGCGATGTGTTGAGTGAGACAGGTATATCAAGACATCCAGAAATGCTTGAAGATCCCAGCCCTCCTCTGGAATCCCAAGAAGAAACTGGGCGTTCTCTCGAACGTGGTGTTGAGACAGAGAAACATGACCGACAAAGTCTCAGCAAGCTGCTCCAACGTGCGGTGGCCGCAGCTCCCACTCCGTCCTCTACACCTACTTTGGAATCCACTGGATCGTCTTACCAGCCAGGAGAGTCCTCGACGTCTTTAGCGGGCGACAGGGACAGACAACTGGGTGACCCACTGATCGAACTCAGCTCCATCGTCGTCCAGTACGGCTCTAAAACCGTTCTCGGCCATCCTCCCCCACAGCCAGGTCACAGCACTCCGGGTTTGAACATGACAATCTACGCCGGCACACGTCTCGCGCTCCTCGGCCCCAACGGCTCCGGGAAAACCACGCTCCTCTCACTCCTGACTTCAGACCACCCGCAGTCCTACTCCCTGCCGATAAAGTTCTTCGGGCGCACAAGATTACCTGATCCGGAGCGGGGGGTTCCCGGGCTGAGTCTGTGGGAGATCCAGAGTCGTATAGGACATTCATCCCCGGAAATCCATCAGTTCTTCCCCAAGCACCTCACCGTGAGGAGAGTGCTGGAGAGTGCATGGGCAGAGACGTACGCAGGAAAGCCGGATCTCACCGCGCAGCGAAACGCCTTGGTGGAACGTTTCCTCAGCTGGTGGGAGCCTGAACTCCGACAAGACGCGGTTGATGGTGACGCTTCCGGGCTTGGTAGGGGTTCAGATCTGAGCTGGGCGACCGACAAACAACTCCACGCTTTCGGCAAGCTGCCATTCTCTGCCCAACGGCTTCTCCTCCTTCTTCGTGCACTCATCAAGCAGCCGGATATAGTCATCTTGGACGAAGCCTTCTCAGGCCTATCTGCGGACACGAGGGACAAGGCCATGTCGTGGCTCGAGTTCGGCGAGGACAAGACGCCACCGACACCGAAAACTGCAACCTCCCTTCGACAACTGGAGACTGGTGGTGGCGTTGCAGATTCTCCAGCCCAGGCGTCGCAGAATGTCCGGTTCCCAGGTCTCACGCCCGCCCAGGCCCTCGTCGTGGTCAGCCACGTCAAGGAAGAGATCCCCGACTGTGTCGACGAGTGGCTCCGGCTCCCAGGCGAGGAGGAGGTCGTGGAGAGCGGCCGGGGCGTCGAAGGCGGTCGCACGCCCGAGCGAGCCTGGGTCAAGTCCCAGGAGGGGTGGATGAAGGTCTGGGGGTTGTAAGGAGGTATCTACTTAGCAGTACCTGGTATTCTAGGATCTAGTATCCAGTAGGGATACCTTGTCCCCTACGTACAGCTGTAAAGAGTACTCGTGATCTATACCGAGTATGAGATATATACACATATACATTCTCATATACATGTACATACATAGACAAAGAACAGACCAAAAAGACCTCTCGACCCTTTTTGTGTCTCGTGAGAGTGACGTTGGACCTCATGAACCTCGCATTTCTGTACTCGGGGATGCGGCCTTGTTTCCTCGCCATCGTTTCCCACAAAGTCTACAAAGGCATGCTTTCGTCCTCTTATGGAAATAGTGGGCATAAACACCTAGGTACCTAGCTAGTAATCCAGAAGGTGTCACGACAAATCCAAAAGATCATGCATGATGTGTCAAAAAGGGGGTTCCATTTCTGTTTCTGATTCCAGAGGCACAGGCAGCTTGACCCGAGTTCCATCGCCCGTCACCAGTCGCCAAACGGCCGACACACCTTGTATTATATATATAAGTAGCTAGAGGATTTTCAAGAACTGTGGATACACAATTTCCAATGGGGGTCGATCAACATACCTCAAGAGTCGTCACGGGTCGTTGATACATGGCCAAACAAGAACAACTTTTTCTTGAAATCCATCATCCTAGGTCGCTTGCGAACACAAAACAAAAGGTATCGCTGGGAAAAAGAAAGTCAGTCAAGGAGATAAAAAATATCCTCCTGAGCTATACCCAAAGCCCATCCATCCATCCATCCATCCGTCCGTCCGTCCATGATCTGGCGAATTATTCTTGACATACGGAAAATCTGGCGCTTTTATTCATCCGTGTCCATCACCGGTCAATCTCGTATGCTACTCGATCGATCGGGAATCATGTGAAAGGGAATACTGTATGCCGAGCTGTTGCTTGCCTGGCTTCGTTGGCTGGCCTGCCGGCGCAAGATGCGTTCTTTCATTCCAGTGACACTGCCGGGGAGCTGTTGCTGAGGCGTGTGCTGCTGGGTCGGCGTCGGGGTCTGTTGCCTGTCCGTATCTTCAGTCATGGGCGGTCGAATAATCGATTGACGCGGAGAGGAGACAGGTATTGGAAAGTTCGATAAAGAAACCTCGCCTGGACTTGGTGGCTGATATTGTAGATTGTGGTGGATAGGATGTCCATTGAGGCGAAGGGGTGGTGGCAAGTGTAGAGGATGCTTTGGACTCTCTAGGTCATTGATGATGGACGGACCAGGTCCATTCAGATCGGCCTCCGCTCTCTGCTTCTCCTTTGCTTTCCCCCGACCCACGTCGGTTTGGACGGTGTTACGGGTTGATTTCTTTCTCCGAGCTTTTCCACCTTCCCTTTCGTGCGACACCGTCGTCCATTGATGATGAGAAGTCGGGCTTCTACCGTCCTCAAGCCGTCTGTCAGCCTCGCCCATCGCATCTGTCGGGGTGGGTGAGTGTCTGACCTGTGAAAAGATAGATGACGGCGCGGCTGGTTTCCCGTCGCTGAAGGAATAGGCATGTTTCGAAGACCCATGTCTGGTTGAGGGCGAATCTGGCACAGGAGTTGGCTGGGTGAGGAAATTCTCGTTCAAACTATGCTGGAGCCGAATGAGAGCTGCACGAGCTTCAGCTTGCTTTTGGGCATATTCTCTCTCGTCAAATGTTGACTGGTAGCCTAGAGCAGAGCGAAGTCGCTCCTTGGTAGGGTCACTATCAATATACAGGTTACTGCTCCCCGACCACGTCTCAGTCATAAGCTCTGTTGGCGGCATGGCGTGGCCGTTGCTCTTGACTTCTACTTCTTCGGGGACACTTGTCAGCATTGATCTGCCAGGAGTGTTTGCAAATTCCCTAGTGCTCACACTGGGAGGACGAACCGGATCACCCATTCCAGTCGAGTTTAGACTTTCTGGGGTTTTGTGAATGTATGCACGAGGTGATGGTAACGGGTCGAGATCGTGGTCAGGTTCGAATGATGCAGTCGCCGACGGCTCTTGTACCATATGTTCGACGGCCTTCCCGATCTCGCCTGCATCAAGATTTCTGTTCTCGTCCCCTTTGTTCGACCTCGAGGTCTGTTTCTCAGCCTCTTTAACGTAGTGTCTTGAATGGTAATCGGGGTTCCGCTTGTTTTGCGGAGCTGGCTGCTTTGAGTGCAGAGCAACTCTGTTCTCGTTCTGTTTATTTTGCACTTCAATCGGCTCAGGGCTCACTTGAGTTTGACCTGTCTGGTCAGAAGTGATTGGCGGTTCTAAAACAACACTTGCGCGAGGCGATGCAGATACAATAGTGGTGATGGGCGAAAAGCTAATCGCAAAATGAGAACGAGGAGGATATTCTGACCTGGGCAATTCTGAACGCGGCTCTGACTGCGGTGGTCGAGATTGTGGACTATCAATCACCACCGCCTGTTCTATTTCAATAGGCGAATGGTTTGTTGTTTCAGTCAGAGTGGTGTCCGTTCTCTCGTCTTCGGTGGACGGACCAGATATAGTGGCTCCCTGTACTTTCCGTGTCGTATCGACTTTCGCATGTTCTAGAACAGGAGAAGAGCTGTAATTTGATGGTGGAGTATCCTCGGAGAAAACCTCTGAATCATTTACGGTCAAATCCATGATTTTTCGATTGGGGAGATTGATCGTTCGCTTCACAGAAGACGCGTTGCTTAAGTTTGAGGGCGAGCGTACTGAATGACTGTAGCTTGGGGATTCCGTTGAGCGGTCTGGGAATGTCACAACCCCCTGCTGGTGCGGTTGGAATGGTTCATTGGACTTCACTTGTGTCACTTCCGAGGCTGAAAGCTGGTAGTTGCTGAGAGCACCACTTGGGAAGATAGGCGAGGGAAATTCCCCGGAACCCCTGCTTTGATGGCTGGTCGGAACCGTGTGTGGGCTGTGGGCCAGCATAGGGTCGCGAGAACTGCTTGCTAGTGTTGTCGTTGGGCTTGTCATTGTTTGCGTCTGACGGGGATCCTCGATACTATGTCTCGAGGCTGGTAATTCGTGCAGCAGTCCTTGAGAGTCCCAAGATCGGTCACTTTGATGTCGAGAGTGTGATCCAATCGAACTATGGACATGGTGGTTGTGCCTCGAGAAAGGTCGCTCCCCAGACTTTTGAGGCGAATGCGAATAGCTGTTCAGTGGGTTGTTTATTCCTTTCAACGGAATAGTCGATTGACTGCCATTAAACCTATTTTGAGGGGCAGAAGGAGAGCTGTGGATACTACCGCTCCCAGGGAGACTCGGATAGGCATTCCTGGCGGCGACTTCTTCTTGAAATTTCGACGAAGATACGTACTGATGGGTGCCTTCGAGAGCAACTCGAGCCAAATCTAGATTCCGTTCGGCCACATCTTCATTGTAGCCAGGCTTCGACTTTGGGCTACTCGGGTTGGAGAGGGAGAAGATGTCGACGTAGCGAGGGGTTTTAGGTCGTACCTGGTCTTTGGGATATCTATCTGCATGTTGTGGGTATTCCTGGTCTGATTTGACAACTGCGTCAGCTGCCAGGTTGACGGCATTCATGAGGCTGCCGCTTCCATCCGTGCCTGGGCGTGACCAAGAAGTCGAGGGCCTTGCGACGGCTCCAGCCAACGCTGGCTGGACCCGGTTGCTTCCATTCGGCTTGTATTGTGCGTCGGTCGAGGCATTCCGGGCGTGGTTTGCGCGGGAGGTTGTAGTGAGTGACCGGAGGGCATGGTCAGTGCTCTGGCTCTTCCTCAAGCTGCCAACTCCCGTGTCTTGTCTCCCGTCATTCCCTTTGCTCTTTCGCCGGGTCCATAGCTTTTTCAAACCGCTTTCCATATTGGTATCATAGAATCATTCCGGCAGCCGCAGCAGCAGATTTGTCTCCCACTCATGTATGTCTCACGGATAGATGCCGTGCGTTCTCCACCACGCATATCAGATACGAACGTAATGAGGACGACCACCGAGCCTGGAACCAAATAATGGAAGCAGACTTTCGGTAAGATGCAGGATTGGGAGGTAGAAATCGACGTGTGCGTAGGCCAATGTCCGAATTGTCGGGCAGAGGCAAAGATAGCAGCTGGTGTCCGCAGGCACTTAGGGACCAGATTCTCGCGAGCAGGTTGATCTCATCTTTTCATGACTCCTCACATTGCCGGGTGCAAATCAAGTCAAGAGCAGTGGGTGGGTCGAACTGGACAGGATGATGCTCCCGAAGTGCTTTTGATCGCACCCTGACCGAGGCTGCAAGAGAACACGAATGTGCACCGGGGTACAAAGTTTATAATGCCATCGAAGGCAGAATGGCCCTTAAATCGCAACGGATGTCATCGAAGGGTTCCGATGACCAGACAAGTTCCAGGATAGCAATGGGGGGGTTGGCAGCATGCACAAACCGGGACGATGGAGCTGCCAGGCGAATAGCATTTCTTTGCTCCTATTAGGTGCCTATCCCCACCCGCAGTCGACGCCGTTGAAGCTCTGATCTGGCGGATGGCTTTTACCCATCCATGCTCTAAAGGTCGCTAGGTGGAACCGGGCGCCTGTTTTTGGCCTCTCGCCTTGGGTGATCAGCCGCCACGCAATGTCCCGTTTCTTCGCTGGGCTGCGAGGGGAGCTGCAGTGGCTGGAATTTCCCTTGACTAGAAACGAAGCGAACCACCAGATCGACGCCTACGAACGCTGCCATTCTTTTCACTTTCTTGAGGCCCCCAATTGTGTCCAAACGTTTGCCTTTTCCGTCATCATCCCTCTCGAATCGGCCTGTCCAGGCGTATCAGTACCACCTCGGGCGCTACCAGATCAAAGTTGACAGGTGGGACACTGTCCGATACCGTAGGCTCTGGCCAAGAGGAGGGGGAAATAGCTGATAGGGTCGTTTTCCTGGGGAATCGAGGGAAGTCGGCGAAACCTTCTTATCGAGAAAGTGTCCGGAGGAGCGGTTCCAGTTAACGCACTTTTACCCACTCAAGAGCGCTGCCAGCCAACAAGAGGTACATTAGACGTCGGGGGACACCTTTGAAGTGTCCGAGCGCAGCCGGGCCCCTGTCGTGCCTGCGAAAGCTGGTCCCTGGGGCATGGGATTTCGCCCAACCACTCAGTTACCTGACCGCCTCGTTGGATTTTGTGGATAACGCCAGTCACAGACCAGCCCAGCAACATTCCTACGAGCACCTGGTACCTACCGTCATACCTCGTACTTACAGAGAGCCTTGCTGGTCAGAGAGTAGGTAAGTTGGGGGCTCATCTTTTGCGACACCACTAACTGTCCATAGGTTGCCATGGACGGAGCATCCAATCTACCAACGGAGCCCATCGGCAGGGGTTCTTGCGAAAATAATAGTGCGTGAGAAATTGAGTGATTGTCTTTCAGGTCTCAGATACCCATGCACGCTATTTAAAAAACACGGGGAAGTCATTGCTCGATCAAGCTTGTTCTCGAGCACCCAAGGCAAAACTGCACCAGGCACACCCTGTGGCCGTCTTGCTTTGGATCAAGTATCGGGTACGAGTGACAGCCAAGCAGCAAGACGACGGCGCCTCGGCACGTCTCGATGAATTTATTCCTGTTAGTCTCAGGACATGGAGTTCCCAACTGGCCTCTCGACGATCGTCGCGCTTCCTTCTCCTTCAAGTACTGGACTACTCAGTCGCGAGCACCAAATGCCTTGTCATAATCCGTCAAGGTGAATCGATATCGCATCTTGTTTGCCGCAACGCGAGACACCGCCTCTGCACATCCTTTCTCCGAAATGGGCAGGGTCTCAACCATAGGGAAGAGCTGCTTCTCGGCGGCTAATTTCAACATAGCCAGGGCCTCAGGTCTGTTACCGATATGGCTTGCGCCGATGGAGCTACCGTTGCTCATAAACATCTGGGCTTTCAGTGGCGGAAGGGCTTCGTCCGGCAGACCGACTTGATGGAATGTGGCATTGACCTTGCACAGCGACAAATACTCTTGCAAATCAAAAGTGTGGGTCATGTCGGCGGTATTGATCACAAAGTCAAAGGTAAAGGCGTATTTGTCTGCCCACCCCTTTTCGGTATTTGTCACAAACTCCTTTGCGCCCAGCTTGAGCGCATCTTCCTTTTTATTTGGGGAATGCGAGATGACTGTGACCTCTGCGCCCAGAGCATTCGCCCACATGACTGCGAAATGGCCCAAGCCGCCCAAGCCCACAACTGCCACCTTCTTACCCGGACCGACACCCGCCCGTACGAGTGGACTCCACGTGGTCAATCCCGCACACAGCATGGGAGCGGCGAGATGTGAGGGTATAGCATCGGGAATGGGGAAGACGAAGTATTCGTGGGCGCGAATGTGCGAGGAGTAACCTCCCTGGGATATGGTCTCGTCGGGGTCGACCTCTTTCGGGTAAGGAGCACCATATGTGTCGACCAGGTGTGGGCAATAGTTCTCGTTGTCACTCTTGCACTGAGGGCATTTGAGGCAAGCCCAGATCTGAGCACCGACACCCACACGGTCGCCAACCTTGACCGTCTTTACGGCGTCTCCGACTTTGACTGCGTGCCCGACGACCTCATGGCCCACACAAATGGGCAGCGGAGCTTCACCCCATCCACCATTGATGGTGTGTACGTCCGAACCGCAGACACCACAGCACTCGATCTTGATATCAATGTCGTGGTCGCCAAACTTCTTGGGTTTGAACTGCGGTGCGGGTTAAAGAGGTTCCTGTCGGGGGTTCAAGGGGAAAATCTACCTCTTGTTTCTTGAATTCAGTCCATTTCTTCTGGTCCTCGATCATGAACCCTTCAAAGGTATCGGGGTAGCCCATGGTCGTGGCGTGGCTTGGTACGTTCTGGGGTTGGTAGGTTAATTCGAGGGAAGGCGTTCACAAGTATCCAAAAAGGGTGGGCTGAAAGAAGAGAAAAGATTCTTTTTTCTCTCGCCTCCGGGTTTTATTTTAATTTTATTGAGTGGAAAAGAGAATAAAAAAATGGATTGAATTTATCCAGAGACGCAAAACACGCACCGCGCGCGGGGCAGAGTTCCAGTTGTCATTGGGAGTTTGACCGATGACATGACATGGGGTTGGGGGGAATCGGTAAATAGGCTATGAATGATGCAAATCAATCATTCCACACACGAATCGTGACGTTATCGACAACAGACGGGGACAATCCAGCCCTCGACACCTACTAGGTACTTACCTACTTTGTATCTACCCACCCCACAGCCGGAGTACACTGCCGCCATCGTCATCGCCGCCACCGTCGCCGTAGCCTTGGCCATCTGAGGATTCCAGAAAAGGATAGAGAGTTTCTACAAGTCCAAAAGCCACACGGGAGATGCGGAAGTGCTCCGGCGAATCATGCCCTCATTGGGCTGGTCCTGCTGCGTCCAACTTCGTCCAACCGGCCATCTTACCGAAGTTGACCGATTGATACCCCTCCTCTACATACACGTCAAGCATGTGCGAGGTACTACTCGGTACAGTAGGGCAGGCACACATAATACTGAGAGGCTCTCCTTCCTTGAGCGGACAGTGGCCTTTGATGGCGCCTTGCTGCTGTCCGCTGGACGAGCATTTTCGGCATGTTGATACCCCGAACGTCTTGTCTCGGCCTCGTACTATATTGAGAGAGAGGAAATCGTGCCCCCTCACTATCCCCCACGCCCCCAACGACCCCCAACAAGAGACAGGAAAACACCGATACCACCCACTTAACAACTACGAGGTACAAGTCAAGAATACTCGGTCAAAATCCTGGGATTATCACGAAATGTTCCCATGTCTAAGAAACAGTCGAACGATATAGTCATCGCAAGTATGTTTACAGTGTTGTACAGCTTCTAATCCTTTATATCCCACAGATCCGACAGCACTCACTACTCATCATCGTCCTCGTCGCCGTCCACATAATTCACAGCCTTCTTCTTAGCCCTCCTACCGCTCAGAGTCCGGGTTGGTGCTCGCCGATTGACTTTGACAACCGCACTGACCTCCTCCGCATCAGTAAGATCCGGCATCTCGAGGTCTGAATCCTCTTTCTGCTCTTCCTCGTCGAGAGTTGAGTCTTGGTCGCTCGTACTCGGCGTCAACACCGTCTTATTTGTGCCCTTCTTATTCTTCATGCCAGTCCCCGAGCGAGGTGCCCGAACCGGCTTCTGCTTCTTCGTCTTCGCCACATCATACACACTCTGTGTTTTGGCAGAATTGGGCGTTGCCCCAGGAGTCGAATCCAAGCCGGCCAGCTCAGAAACAGTCGACTTGGCCGTGGTCGCTGGCGTCTCTCCCTCTCCTTCTGCGGATGCTTCCCTCGCTGCCTGCCACGCAGCCTTTTCGGCCCGTCTCAGTGCCGCCCTCTCGGCTGTTGTCTTTGCTTTTGCGGGGTCTCGAGGCTTGACTTCTCGTTTCTTCGGTCGCAACCATTCCTCCATGCCTTGTGGCCAGTAGACGCGTCCTTCGGGACCACCCATACTGATCTCGGAATCTGGCACCAAAGGTGGCGGCTGTGCTTCCTCATCTGCATCGTCATCGTCGTCGTCATTGGCGATCGGTACTCCCTCGTCTCCTTTGGACTGGCGCTTCTTTCTGGGAGTTTTCTTCTTCTTCGGAGGCTTCCAGGGCCTATTTTCGTCGTTCCGCACGTAGGGGGTGATATCATTGAAAGTATCAAACCCAGGCAACTTGAATACGCGCATCAATTCAAAGACAGCCTGTTCTTTGTCCTTGGCCTCGATCATCAAATCCATGTCCGGCGCACAGGGTGGTAGTGTTGCAGGGCGCGGATTATGCTTCCGTCGCTGTCGTGCAGTAATAGCCGATGGCACAGGTTCTGAATAGTGCATTTTCTGCATGATGCCCTTTCTTGTCCACGTAGCTTTGATCCTGTCATAAAGGCTCATGATGTCAAGGGTACCTTCGCGAACTTTGTCTGCATCAAATACAATGTTGTGATGGTGGAAATCCAGAACAAGCGGAATATTGAGCTCCTCGCACACAGGCAGCAAATCATGCACACTGTAGCTAACATCATCATTCTCGAGAACTAGACGGTTCTTGATCCCTTCTGGTAACTTGACATAGTTCTCCTTGAATCGAGCAATAGTGGCAGCCTTGTCGCCAAAGACACCGCCCATGTGCAGGATCATGACAGCGTCACGATTCAGCTGCGGCGGCAGCCTCAGAAGGTCCAGCATCTCGCAGTGGTAGTCTAGATCGCGTAGGGACGCTCGTATAACCTCCTTCCGCGGTGAGCCCAGTTGTGTGAATTGCCCCGGATGGGTCGTCAGCCGGTGACCGAGTTCAGCAGCCACGCGACCCGCTTCTGCAAGCACCTCTGAGGCGAATGGGCTAAGCTTGTACCCGTATATATCATGGCTGGCAAAGGGAAACATTTCAGACGACAACCGAAGGAACTTGATACCGTACCGATCGTTCCAACGCAACATCTTGACAATGTCCCGCGCATTGGCAAGACCCAACGCTTCCACATATTCTTGCCCCCGAGCTATGTCCGCTGGTTGATCCTTGTCAGGCCGATTTTTGGTGGCATGTTCTGGCAGCTTGGGGTCTTTCAGTGGATGGCGGTGCTCGAGAATCGAAGCGATACGACACGTGCGTGACGAGAATACTGGTGGATTTGCATTACGGAGATAGGTATTCAGACAGGCATAACCCAGCCGGCCCTTCCAGGGCAATGGGAGGTATGAGCTGTTGATCGGGGGTGGCCGGGACAAGGCTTCCTTCAGCTCTTCGGGGTTAGCTTCCTCATCCCCTTCAGCTTCGGGATCATCTCTGTCCAGCCCAACCCCTCTCTTGACGGGAGTTGTAGGAGGGGCGACTGGTTCAGCATGTGTTACAACAGGTTCGTCCACAGCTTCGACCTTGATCTTTCCCTTCCTACTTTTCGCAGTGTCAACTTCAGGCTGTTCTGCGTCTGGCGAAGCACGTAGAGCATTCGGGCCATCCTCAATCATATCATTCGTGTCCGGGTTAGTGTCGATCGTGGCAGGGGTAGTAGCAGAGGCTCTCCGGGAACTAGTCCGTCGATTTGATGCAGAAGCGGGTGTGGTAGAAGTCACCAAGGTGGTATTGGCTACCCTTTTTCGTTTAGGCATCGCATACAGTGGTGAGGGCGAAGATCCTAGATGTAAATCATAGAGGGAGTGAGATCTAACTGTTGGGACAATATAGTCTCTGCGAATCCGCGCTTGACGTTGAATACCTCTCCGACGTAAACACAGACGATTGAAAAGATTGAACATGCGATGAATGTCTGGAGGCTCTAGGCTTGACGCTGGGAAGGAAAAAACCTACAATACATAATAATGCCCCTTGCATGCTGTAGTGGTGAACCGAGTACGAGGGAGTGACCAGCCAATTCTCTGATCACGACGTCATGACTTTTTCGTGTCGTGCCTCAAATGCGCAGATGCGCAGCTGCGCTTCTCACACGCGACTTTTCGAGATCGATTCACGCCTGCGATGCTTTTCGATCGGGGAAAGGCAGAACTCCGCCCTTTCACCCTCACCCGCCAATAATCAATCGTGAGTGCCTCATCTGCTAAGTGTCACAGAGCTAGGCTTCCTCCCTGCACCCATCGATCCATCGAGCCATCTGAGGGGTCTCGCCCACTGCAGGGATCAATAAACGGACAAGCTTAGGTGGAACAGCTGGTGACCATCCTCGCTACTCAGGGAACTTCTCCATCCCAGTGGCAAATGGCTGCTCTGATTTGTCCTACAAGAAAACAGTCTCAATGCTCCTCCGCCACCAGACCACGAACCTGTATCCGCCCAAGGCCAAAACCGAGACCTCCTCCTCTTCCTCTAGAAATGGGCAGAACATCTTCAACTGTGGCGCAGAGTCAGTTGCGGTTAATGACTTCCTTCCGTTATTTGGCTTTATCGACCGGTGCCGACTCTTTCGCCTGTGAAGGTCGTCAAAGAGGTGCTTGACTGATCGGCTAATCGCTTATCGTTCTTGTTCGCCTTTGGAAGATACGACTCCGCATTTCTTACAGCTGGGATCCCGGCTCACCTCACCAAGCTCATCTACACAATGCCAGGGTTTGCCAGTTTTCGGAGAAAGCTTTCACGAACCAAGTCTGTGCCTGGGCCTGTCGAAATCACGGAAGAGAGTCGAGATCAATTGCAGCCATGGCCAAGTAAAGCGTTGTCCTTGACACCTTCCGACGAGCAGCTCGTCGCCAAACTGGCATTTACTCCCGAAACCACCATCATCGAACGAGCACCTCGCCGACAGACTCCATCGGTGGGGACTAGGTGGTCCGAGCGGACAGTGTTTAACAATGTCGAGTCCGGCTTCCTCTCACTACCAACGGAGCTTTTGATGTTTCTCCAGCCATACTTGAGCCCAAGTAGTGAGGTCTCCCTCCGTCATACTTGCTCGAGGTTCTTCCATCTTTATAGCACGCCATCCTTTGTCTTGACGGGGAAAGAGCTTTTCGATTTCCTCTGCATGACTGAACGGGATCAGGATCCCACTGAACTAGATAAGCTGGTGTGCAGCAGGTGTCAGATGCTTCATCTCCGGTCCACTTTCCCTACGGCGGAGATCAAACAGGAATCAACCTTGCGAGACTGTAGACAGGTCTGGCTATGCCCACATCGTCACCTTGGTTACCAGAGGACGATCCGCAACATCAAGGCCGGAGTGGAATCACCATTTCGAGTTGAAACACTGGAGCCCTGTTCGAGGTGTAGAAACTCTATTCGCAACAGGTCTGTTGCCGACCGCCCCGAGAAAGGTACCTCTGCCATGGATCTGGAGAATCCGAAGGCCGAGTCTCTGTTGATCTCCAAGATTGCCCTCATTCAAGCGCCATCACCACTGTATAACGCAAGAACAAGTGGTGGTAGTGGCATGTACAAGGAAGTGTTCCAGGTCAAGGATGTTTCCAGCGCTCTGTCAGGGATTGATTTCCGCCTTTGCGCCCATATGAAGCTCGGAGATCCTTACATCCTCAGCAAGTTCTGCAGAGCATGCATCAATACCCAACGACTCCCACCAGGGGTGAAAGGCCCACCTTGTATCAATGAGTCGAAGCGAGAGTTTGGAGCCGGCCGGACTCGCGCGAAGTGCAAAGGCACCTGCTTTACTCGAGGCTGTAGAACACAATTCATGTTTCAGGCTCGCGAAAGTCTGTCACCTGACGCTTCTGGGAGGCGACAAGTCTGGCTCATTATTGTCGTTTATCGCTGGCTAGGTCCGCTCTTGAGTGCAGGACGGGATGGCACCTGGACTGACCACACCATCGACCATCAAGAACGGAAGGAGATGCGCGTGAAATGGGCCGAGTGGGAAAAGGTAAATCGATCTGGAAGACAATGCATGCCGAATTGGAGCATCTGCCTTCTACATCCGGAAGATTCAAATTTGCGCTGAGATGAGATGTTTGAGAATACACAACAATGATTGTCCGACGCGTCAGGTCGAGACAGCAACCGCGTGGAACCCGTTGCGATGGAGCACTCTGTATGTTGTTCCTGTATTTATCCTGGGTGGCTGACAACAACAATGGGGATCACCTCTTCAGAAGTTGCGATCGAATCCGACATGGACGACTTCGCACAGCCGGCCTCGTTCATTCTGGAGCCGCCGCATCGACGACCTCGAGATCATGGACAGTCATCTTCAACAGATGAACGCTACTGAGAAGATGCGAGTTGAACTGAAAGATGACAATAATGAGCTGGATGCAGCGATCGGCAGTGCAATAAACGCGCGACGAATCACACAGGCTTGTTGTGCCGGACAGGCGATTATTGAAAAACAAACTCAGATCGACATCCCTTCAAGGAAATGGCACAGATTGGCGCTTAAACCCACAGAAAATCCTAAAATAGAAGTTCGCATGCCCCGGATTTCTTGAGTTTTGGACGAGGCTCGAACCGATCATCGATTGGCTTTTTGTGGCTGCGATTGGCGACCACGTCCCCTTGCCAACAATTGCGGGGGGTATTCGAGATCCTCCTCGACAATATCTACTAGCTTGGAGCCTGGAGCTCGGAGTCCATGGCAAAGCCCCCTTTGCCCTTTCATGGGCTGGAAGAATGTCATGCTGGGGCAGTGGATCGACAACATTCCTTGTGGTGACTTGCCCGGTGGCGCTTGAGCCTCGTCAATCCCACTTTAGCCCTGCCACGATCCCCAGCAGTATCCAGAGCAGCATGTCATCGAGCGGTGTCCAGCAGACGAGTCGTCGTACGCCATCTCCAAAAATCGAAGCTGGAACAGCGTTCCGTCAAGTGGCGACATGCAAATATATGTGGACGGGCTGGAAATATACATATACAAAGCGTTGTGTTGCTCACAAACACAAATCCATCCATCCCTGAATCAAGCCTGATCGCTTCCTTCACATCTATCACATCCATCACACTCCAACTCCTTTGACTGACAGCAACACCGCTATACGTGTGCTCAACCTGTCTTACATTCCTACCGCTTCGAGACGGGCTTCTCTGCCCTAAATCTTCCAGCCTCCTTCCCTCCCTTGTCAATCTTCTGCTTTGCCAGTTCTCCCACTGAGCACATACCATGTCCCCCTTGCTACACACTTCCCTTGCCCTCTCCCTATTATGGCTGCCTCTCTGCACTCAAGCCCATATGCAGATGAGCTGGCCATACCCCCTACGAAGTCCCCTTGATCCTGACATCAGCCCTGATGAAAAAGACTATAACATGATATCCCCGTTGTTCGCGGACGGCTCTAACTTTCCTTGCAAGAACTACCAGAATACTCCCGATAGCTATGTCACCAAAGCAACTTACCTGGCCGGCGGTACCTACGACATGTGGTTGAACGGGACAGTCCCACACGATGGAGGCTCTTGTCAACTATCTCTGTCTTATGACAACGGAGCTACATTCAAAGTCATCAAATCCATGATCGGCGGATGCCCCTTGACACACAACTACGCCTTCACGATTCCGAGCTTTGCGCCCTCTTCCGATTCGGTGCTCTTCTCCTGGTCTTGGTTTAATCTCATCGGAGATCGCGAGATGTACCAAAATTGTGCCCGAGTTGAGATCGTTGGTGGCTCGAGCACACGGCATCGACGAGGCTCGCCGTATCGACGCCAGGTTGCTTCAATGGATCGGCTACCCAATATGTTCGTGTGCAACGTGAACAACGGCTGTCAAACCATCGAGCGACAAGAAGTGGTTTTTCCAGATCCCGGGAGCGATGTTGTCTACGGCCAGGATGCCATTGTTCCGGATCCAGGTCCGGGGTTTACCATCAATGGCGTCGCTGCTTCAACTACTTCTGTTTCCCTGACCACCTCCGTCTCGACGCAACTCGACCTTGTGACGACGACTGGGACATCCAGCAGTTTGGAAGTTCCCACATTGACAACAACGTTCACGACTCAGACTACTCGGCCGTCCTCGACTGCAACGACAACCACTGTTGAAACTACCACCGTGGACACCATTACCACATCCATGCTCGTCTCCCCAGCGGCTTTCTTCACGACCGATTCGACCACACTGAGCACACTCTCAACCACCACGACGCCTTTTACTTCGGGAACAGGAAGCGTCGTGGATAATTTGGCTGAATCTACCACATCTTTCAGCACATTGACGACAACCTCAACCACCACGACGCCTTTTACTTCGGGAACAGGAAGCGTCGTGGATAATTTGGCTGAATCTACCACATCTTTCAGTACATTGACGACAACCTCAACCTCCCTTGCCCCTTTCCCCCTGACTAACGGTTCAACTATTACGTCCGCCATTGCCTTGGGCACTGGTGCTGTTTTTGCTAACTCTACAGATCCTGACGATTCTAATCTGGCCGAGTCCACGACTACTTCGATGACGACTACGACCCCGACGACACTTACGACACTTACGACCATGACATCGACGACGACGACGACGACCACAACGACGACTACCACGACGCTAGACGATCTTGCGACATCTTTGACGACTACAGTGACGACTCCTACGACTTCAACGACGACTACCACAACGCTATACGATCTTGCGACATCTTTGACGACTACAGTGACGACTCCTACGACTTCAACGACTACCGGAACGACAAGCACTATTTCTACGATGACAACAACAGCAAGCATCACACTGCCAACCACTTTTACGACATTGGTACAGGTTGCCTCTACGACCACGAGCACGACCACGACCGCTACCACTTCTCCCACCACTCTCCCACTGCCTTGTGTCCCCGGAACATTCACATGTAATAGCGCTTCTAGTTTCTCCCAATGCATCTCCACCGGTGGTGGGACGACGTATACCTATATGGGTGCCGTCGCCGCCGGCATGACGTGTGTTGATGGCCAAATTATCCGCCAGAATGACGGGGCCTGCACGCCTAGTGGTGCGTTGTACTGCAACGGCGAAACATCGTTTTACATCTGCGACCAAGGTGGGCTCGTGAACATGGGCCCCGTCGCGCCAGGAACGATCTGTCAGGACGGCGTGATCGTTGCTGCATGATCGATTGTTCGAGATTCTGGAAGCTTGAATTTCATAGTTCTTGGGATGCCAGTTTCTCGAGCGGACATGGGGACTGGGCGAAAAGGGAAGAGGGCATTTATTACCTCTGGCTTAACCGGGGTATATCTTGTCCTTGTCCCTGTTCTCCCCGTTTCCCCAGGCGTTTTCGGCTTCGGGTCTTTTTGTTCGGGGGTTTCTTTGGGAACAGGGAATGGGAATAAGATCAAGAACCAACATAGCGTGGCGCTGGGATGGATATGGAACTGGCACTGAGATTGAGACCGAGATCGACGTTGGGTAATGATTGTGGGACGGACAGACAGGATCGGACGACCTCACAGCTGAGCTGGATATTTACCAACCACCACGACGGACCGGATCAACGGAACTGAGATACTGGTTCCTTTGATTTTTTGTATTTGGGGAGGATTCCTTACTTGGAAAGGCTGCGATAGGCAGACAGACAGCTAGGCAGGACCAGGCGCATGAGGCATGAATGAATACACACGACGGAGTACCTCACGCACGTATCAGAGAGATAATGGGAATGATATAAGATGATATTTGAGCATCCATGTACTCGCTTGATATCCAGTACGGTATACCTCATATCATATGGTAAATCGAAGAATGTAATGCAATACAATGCAAGGCGTATTATATTACATCGTGTTTTGATATCTCCTTTTGTACATACTACGCTGTATATATTACGGTGTACTTACATACTCTACACTATATACTACATACTATATGGAACGGATGGATGTCTGTATATACATAGAGGGGTACCCAGGTATATATGTTTTTAAGTCCCTACTAGGGCTAGATATATATACTCCCTCAGTCCTTCGCTATATATATACTCTGTCCATCTATTCTGTGTAGAACTTTACTGCGTTGCCTCTTCTCTGTTGTCTCGCTGGCTGGCGAACGGGCATTTATTTCTTGTGGCCTTCTCACCCACCCACCCAACCCACACTCACACACTTATACAGCACCCTAGTCTCGCGACCATCTTCGTTCTCTTCACCAAGCACACACCGAATATAAAGAAAGAGAAATCACGACGAACGCGCTCGCTCGTAAAACCATGCGCCATCAATATTGAGCACTGAACACTGAAAACTGGACACGGAACGGTGAGCGTACAGCATAATGTACCTCGTACTCCAAAGCAGGCAGAGAGGAAGAGGGCTATACACAATGGGTATCAACTCAAGGCATACAAGGTAACAACAACGAACAACGCATAACCAACAAAGATCCAACTCGGTAACGGGGCAAAGAGCGCTGCTGATAACACCCGGTCTTCTGCGATCCAAGTCGACGCCGACTCCCGCGACGGTGCTTTTTTGTGCGACATATTACTGGATTATTGAGTACTGTAGTCTTCGTCGGACCGTGAAGTCCACCATCCCGAAAACGCCATTTGCTAAACTGCATGTCGTCGTAAAATCAGCTTTGATTGGACACCGTGCCGATTTTCTCATATCGGTGGAGGACCGCCTGAGCCGCTTTCGGCCGATGTATCGCCTTCTACCGTCTTCTTCCACGCTTCCGGGAGGCAGACACAGACCAGTGGGAAGGCCTTGATTTCGCCCGGCGGAGTAGGGGATTCTTCTCGAGTTGCCGAACCGTTTGACACACCACTGTCTCGCTGCACCTTATGCTTGCCATCATAGTCCTCTGCCCGCTCGTTGATCCGCACTCCCGTCGCCCAGCCGTCATCCCAGATGCCGACCACTTTCAGCATGTCACCACGTTCCAATTCAAACTCGTCTCCCGCTCGAGGCTGATATGCCCATAACACCGAGACCTTATCTCCAGGATGAATATCGTCGTTAGAGTAGTAATCCTTGAAGAACGGTAACTGCTCCGATTGTCCACTGGCGACTCCTTCTGGAGATGAGAAGTCACCAGGGGAAGACCCATTTTGTGAGTCGCTCCCCGGTGAGCCGTTAGCTTTCATCCCACCCATCCCCTTTTCGCGCGAATCTGGACTGTCACCGTATGGGTCGGTGTGGGATGTGTAATTGCGTGGTCCGATTGTGGGCCCGACACCTGGCTGGTCATCTTGCAGCGCCGACATACGAGCAACACGTCCGCCAGGTAAGACCTCATATCCTTGCTGTGTCATGGGTTGGTTGTAGGATGCAGACACGACACCCTTCCTCTGAGGCGAAGGTTGGTTGAGAACGCTGCCTGCTTTGCTATGATTATGCCTGCGACGGAAGCAAATGAAGCACAGGATGATCACGGCAAGTAGGATCAGAAATCCCAGGACAGATCCAACAACGATGCCGGCAATCGCCCCACCACTCAAGCCACCACCTCCATGACTGGCGACTGCTGTTGGGCTCGAAGTAGGTGAGGATGTAGGGCTAGTAGAAGAGAAGAGGTTTGAAATGGTGGAGAAGACAGGGAGCGTAACGTCCTGGCATCTGCCTGTCGCGTTGGAAGTCAGGCAGCACGAGTCTGTCCCATTGAGGGTACTTGAGCGACAGAAACTGCACAGACCCATCAAATTGCTGCCAAACCCACAATTCTCAGGTTCGTTCGACTCGCCTGTGATACAGCTGCCACTAATAGAATTGGCGGGTAATGCACAGTTGGTGAAATCGGCTCGGAGTTCGTCCGCGTAGTCATTATTGCGACCAGGGCATAGATCGCTTGAGACAATTTGCTCCTCGCTCAACGCCAATTCGGCGCAAGAGTCGGCGCACAGAGGTTCGGAATCAGCCACAGATAGACCGCAGGGTGTCCGAGAATTCTGCACAATGCCATTGCAGAGAAAGCTGGTCGTATAACGGGCGTAATAGCTGGTGGTGTTGCCCAAATTCACATTGTCACAGCCAAAGATATTGACATATTTTGTCTGTACATATTGTTCATCCACATATTGAGATAACTGAGTATCGAAGCTCTCGGTCGACGTGACAAAGGCAAGAAAGGGACTGAAATAACGTTAGGAGTTTGGTCATCCTTGCAGCGAAGAAGATCAGCGTCACTTACTATAGGGCAACTAAAGTAGCATCTGTTGATATTGAGGAAGAGTTGAAAGCAGGACACGTCTTCGAACCAGCCAGTGATATGCAGCTCTGCGCAAATACACTGGGAGCATAAAGCGCCAATGCGCCCAGGGAACGAAGTTTCTTCATGCTCCTAGGAAAGATCGACCGTAAACCGTTGGTGAGAGGATTGGTCAACTAAGTCTTCCTAATGCGAATATCCAAAATGTGACCACCTCTTTCAGGTTCCAGCTCATGCTGAACTCGTCATTCTTCCCACAACGATCTGGCCGTCGTCGCGATTGGGCTTCCTCGACCAGGTGGCTTCCAGACACAGGCTCGATGAGGATGGTGGAAGCTGGAAGCGAGGTCGTAGAGCTTCGACAGGCCGTTGAGAGGATCGAATCACGAGTGGAGCGTGTTGAAAAGAGTTGTTCAAAAGGCTGAAACTGAGAGAAGTTGGAATAGTTCAAACGTGTCGATTGACGCAGAAGAGAAGGACAGCGAAACGAGCGACTGTTGGTTAGAAGACTGTCGAAAAAGCTCCGGATAAAGAGAGACCCTGAGAGCGGATTGGAGGCAAAACAAAAAAGCAAGGTGAGAAAATGCAGATGGAGGGAGGGTGGAAGAGGTGAGAGATCGGAGGGCTGGCTACACATGCAGCCGTGATTGGGGGTTCAAGGGCTACCGGGGGCCAGTAGTGGCTCCTACAAGAGTCCCTGCTGCAGCGAAAACTCAGAAACCTGGGCGCTTGCAGCCAGTGCAACTACGACCTGCACCGACTTGCTAACGGACTTTGCTTGACACGCAGCAACGGGTGGTTAGTGCTGCGTGGCCGGGGCGATCGCTGACACCAAAGAGCCCTCGTTGATCGGCACATAGCGGACGACACCCGGGGCAGCTAGCCGGGCCAGGTAAGGCCCGAGGCCCTAAGCCTAGACGAGGCCAGCCTCTTCGCGCCAGCTCACACCTTAAGCTTCTGCTTAGGCCTGCATGGGCCTGGCACTCAATGGTGGCTCCCGGCTAATGGAAGCGCTTGCCCTGTTCCTCTCAGTTGCAATTTCGCGGGACTCGCTTCATCTCAACATCTGCTCCTGCGACTCTCATGGCTCGTGCTTCTCCCTGGTTGTGCTTCTCCCTCTGAAACAAGAACAATCTTCGCGTCTTCTCTGAGTCTTGGAGAGGCACAACTGTGTTGGATAGAAAGTGTAACTTTTACGCACCGAAAAGTAGGTTCCGCAGGCTGCGAATGGCTTCGGCATGCCACATGCAGGCACATTAACCCTCCTCCAACACTCCTCGCCTGCGCCTCCAGCCAATCCAGTGGAGAGCATAACATCCGACCTGTACCTCCAACCGAGATTCCGAAACCTTGCAAGACTTGCGGCAGAATGGACAGTTTGTTTGAGGACGGTCTGAAGTCAAGATTCGATGGATGTTTGTGATGCAGTGGATTCCGTGGTGGAGGGGAAATTGCATGGCGCTGCGGCCACTCACGCCACGCCTGAAGTTATCCAGTCCACACCACGTTGAAGTATTAGCTGCGTGGTGGCTCATGGTGGCTCCATTCAGCTCGAACTGACCAGTGATGTTTTGTTGTATGGTTGTCCTTCCACACTACGACCGACGAGTACCTCCGTCCCCGCGAACTTTCTTCCACCACGCTGCACAGACTTTTTGTTTTCCTTCAGGCCGAGCGCATGGCTTCAACGTGCCAACCTGCCTGCCATCCCACACGAACCTTCTCTGAAAAGCTACTTATGGTTGAACTTTTCGTCGGGCAGACCTTTGAGATTTTCATTGGACACGCACATCCAACCCTAATGCAACTCCATGCTGCATGCTGATGTCAAGGTGCAGGTGCTCAGAGTCTGAGATGCAGGTACTCCATACTTTGCAGCAAACCCAGAGACTACTGTGGTCCTCTTCAATCCTGGGGTTGCACATCACCCCCGAAAAGAGAGTAACTACGCCTCAAGCAGTCAGAATATCCCGTCCCGATACAGACTGACCCCCGCGGTTTTGGATGCATTGAAAAGCTACGAGGTCCAGACCTCAGAGACTGCCTTTATAGACTTCGGCTGCGAACGTGCATCCAAGATGATGATGATGTGCATGCTGGAAAGCACGGAATCCTTCGTCATTCTTGAGAACCCTGCTGATGCTCTTGAGAGTAGTCGCTGCATTGTTGACGATTGGGCTGCTCCAATGCGTCGACAACATCTGCTCGATGGAACCATCGTTACCATCGGAAAGGAGTTGGCAATATCAAACAAAGGCTGCCTTGGCTGATCTTGGTATGTTAGCTCCGATGTGGCGGTTTGAATGTTTGTATACTGGTGCTATCTATCCCCGTACCATATCAACGTCATTGCCCAAGACATGGCGCATCTCTCTCCGTTCTAGACATTTCAGTGACAATGAGACCACACTGAACCTATTTTCCATTCACTGGGAAGGAGCTTCTATCTATCCATTCAATCTCAGCAAAGACCTTTGAGCCTTTGCTGATTGGTGATCTAATCCAAGAAGCTCGTATAATTATCCCAGTTCCCCAGCAATGTGCGAGTAGTAGGACCTGAAGTAAACCTCATTGCTACTTCCTCTGTCGTCATCACCGCGACCGCTCTCGGTCGATACAACGAGCGATGTACCAAGTAATATTAATATAATAGTAATGGTAATACACGGCAGAACCCAGCACTTGGAGAATCTGCCTCGCTTTTTTTCCCCTACTCCTTTTCCACCCTTCCATTCCATCCAGTCAGCAGTCAGTACCCAGGCTCCAACTCGGCCGTCAGAGCATAATTCCGTATCTTTTGTTCGTCGTTCGTCAGTCGTGATTCGCTTGTGCGGAAAAAGATAAAATCCCCCAAATATTTTTGTGGCGGCGCTGTCGTTTTAAGGCGCCCTGTGGCGCAGTGGGTATCTTGTCATATCGTGTCGTGTCGTCGTATCTCATGGTATCGTGTCGCGTGGTGTTTCATGGTGTCGTGGTCGTGGTGGAAATTCGTTCCGAGGGTATAATATGTGTGGTTGTGTGTGTGTGTGTGTATGTGTGCCTCGTACTGGAGGTAATGGTCGTGCTTGGTGCGTGATTAATATTGTCTTGTTGGGATCCATCGATTCCGTCTCCATAGTCAGGCGAATGCCACCCTCGATGGTATCTTTACTTCATTGTCCTTTCCCCTCCTTTGTTTCCTTTGTTTCCTCGTCCTCCTTGTTCGCCACGATAGATGATTAGAGAATCAAGACCAGCTTGATTAGGGTGTGGATGAAGAGGTTCGGCTGGTCGAGGAAGATTCATTTGAAATCTGGTCTGATTTGCGTGTGGGTTGGAAGGTTGTGCTGTCGTTCGTGGCGGAGATAGAGGATGGGATAGGAAGATCTCCTTTGTTTGGAGAAGACGGCAAAGTTCCCATCGCGAAGCCCCTGCCCAGCTTAGTTCCTCTTTGTGCACATGGCCTTGAGCTTCTTCCAGCTCTTCTTCACCATATCCTTGGTCTTGGCCTTTGCGCTCCTCAAACCGGCGCTCATCGTGGCCGTCGCGTTCGTGCCCACGTTGACACCAACAGAGGATGTCGCCCGCGCCGCCCGACTGGGTGGTCGGGGCTTGGTCAATCGTCTCCGCTGCGTCGAGGTCCAGCTCGCGTGTCGCCAATCCTTGCGTGTGCGCTGGAAAACCGGTAAAGGTGGAACAGGGCGGAGTATTCCCTCTTCCTCTCCGTCTTGTTCTTCTTCTCCATCACTGTCTCCTTCCTCGTTGTGCTGTTCGCGGCCCTCAACCCCCAACGACTCGTCGGATGACGTCGATGAAAAGTACGACACTTCGTTTGGAGCAGCCCATGTGATTGATGACGGCGATACAGGTGGCGGAGATCGGACACAATGGACACCGTTGAAGGTGGGGCTATGGTCGTGTGTAGAGGGAAGCGTGATCGTCTCGACGTCGTCTGGGAATCTGCGAATGGTCCCTCCTAGCGGTAAAGAATTGGAGTTGGCCGTGGCTATTGATGATGGACGGCCCGGTGGAAGACTGAATCGGACATGGCGGCCTTCGTGTCGCTGGCGCGGAGCTGTTGATGACCTGATAGAGGCCCGCAACAACGGTAGAGGGGGTGCTTGTGCCGAGCTTGGATCTTGCTCCTCCCCGGCGGCCTCTGGCGAGATAGAGTTGAGCACTCCAGCGCTGGAAATGGCGACCTGAGTTGATCCCAGGTTGGGATGAACTATGTTGCCCGCCATGTCCTCTTCCGCACCATCTCCATAGTTGAGTCCAGTAGGTATGGAACTTGCCAAGGTGGTATCGTCGTCTTCAACCTCGTAGGCGGAAGCCGCTCTTTCTAATGCAAGTGTCCGGTGGTAGTTCTGGATGCAAAAGCCTCGGATAATATCTTGCCAGAAGTGTTCGCCATTTGATTCGGTGGTTGTAGTGAGGCGGCTCCAAGCTTGGAGGTATGAAAACATGGGGACGTTGAGTGTCACGGGTCTCCGATGCAGAACGAGTTCTGTTGAGGGCGACGCCTGATTCTGTGGTGAGGTGACGGTAAACTGAGGGGCGACTTCTGTGGCACGAATCCCAGCCGCTCTATCACTTCTGGAGACATTGCTTGTCCTAGTAGTCGATCGGTCAACTCCCGACAGGGTTCTCGTCGCAGGCACCGAAGCGCGTTGCCCTTCTGTGGTGCCAAAATTTGCAGACAAGCGATCGAAGCGCATAGCGTGACTTCGAACAAGACCAAGTTGCTGGCCAGGGAGTGTCATGGTGATAGTGCCGTTCGGAAATTGATGGACAGCTGGTCGAGGTTCGCTCGGTAAGGGACCTGTTGGTGTGAGCACGACAACTGGAGGATTGGACCTGGTGCTGAGGCCGCGATAACGAGGAGTTGGCGTAGGGATGCTCGGAGAGTCGACGAATGTTGGTGCCAAAGACTCTGGAGTTCCCACCAACGTCGAAGTAGGCGATAGAGCAATCGAATTGCAATGACCAAGGATGTGTCCAGCAGCCTGAGTCACAGGGTTTAGAGGTTCTTGTGACATGGAGGATGTGGCGGCTGTTTGCATCGCTTCTTCGAGAGCGTCGAGACGAGCGTGTAAGCTGCTGGCCTGCGTGCGTATGGCAAATGCAAGAAGCTCTTCTTCAGACTCGTCGTCTGTGTCCAGTTCGGCATCCTGTTGACGAGCATATATCGCCTCGTATTCTTGTCCTTGAGGCATGTCCTCAAATCCATCGATCTTGGATTGTAATTGATCGTCAACGGCACTTCCAGAGCCATCATTGCCGCTTTCACACTCGTCGTCAGTGACAGCCTTTGACTCGGCGTCTTCGTTGTCAGATATGTGGAGAGATGTGTCGGGTGTTTCTCCGGGGCTGGTGCTCGAACCGTGCGATTGCTCGACAGTGGTAGATGTCGATGCGGAGCACACACGACGATCGTCATTGCCACGAAGGCTCTCCGCGTCTTCAACGCTTTGATCTGCAGATGGCTTGTTGTTGCCACTCTGCGGCTTTTCGCCCCCAATTACCTGTTCGGCAGAAGAAGAGGCTCCAGATCCCGCCACTTGTAATGGAAGAGCCATAGTACCAATGGCCTCTTGCTCCTCTTCTTCGTCGTCGTCGTCGTCTTCGTCATCCGCCCAACGAGCCGCAACAGGTCTGTCTTCTGTGGCGGCGAGGAGTCCCTTCCACTCCGCACGCGAAAGCGAGCGACTATTTGAATATCGCTCAGGATTGAAGGTGTCGTTTGAGGCCCCAGGGTTTGCGGGGACTGGCGTAGCGGTCGTGGTTGGTTGACTGACCGGGCGGTGTCCTGAGTGGCGTAGAGGGGACGAGGCACCCTGTCGATTAGGGCTAAAAACTGGTCCTTGCTCAACGTCCTCATGTGTGAAACAAGAGCGACCAAGCCTTGAAGACTGGCGCCCTTGGGCGAGCCTGGCATTGAACGCAGCCTTACGGGCTGCATCCTCCTTCTCCTTTTCCTGCGTGGCATCAGTGATCATGTCGACCCGGTGTGCAAAGCCCTTCGTGATCCCATTGATCACAACGGACTCCCTAGGGTCAGGATAAAAACATGGGTCGAGAGGATCGGCCATGACCATGTACTCCTCGGGTCCATAGTGGTCATGGACCCACCAGCCATGTTGGCTGTAAATCTTCTCGCTCTGGCCAATACAGGCATTCTCGAGACGAGATCCACGAAGGGTTTCCAAGGTCTCCTTGTTGCCATAGTAGCAGACAGGATCCAACAGCTGCTGAGCACATCCCATGATGGTGCTCTTCCAAAGCCCATTGGGGGTGGTGACGTTGAAGTGCTTTGGTGTTGACTTGAGAATGGCGATCGTAGTCGCCGGAGCTGTGCCCGACTTCGTGAGGACGGGTCGACCAAAGACGTTAAAGTGGTGAATACACTTCAAGCTCTGCAGTTCTTCGAGCTTGAACCACTGGTAGTCAGACTGAGGATCTCTGATCATTTTCGGATAGTCCTCCTCCTCGTCCTCCTCGCCGTCGATAATGCTGTCCCCGCGCTCAATACCTCTGTCTGCATCGTGCATGTACTGCACGAAGTCTCGTCTTGACGACTCGCGTTCCTCCGGAGTCCGCTCTTCATATTCGACCTTCACCAAGGGGAACCTCTCCACATCCCGGAAAGCCGCAAACACTGCAGGCGTGCAGTCATCCCAGTTTGAAGAGGTAGGGTAGTAAAACCCTTGGACATGCAGCCCAGATGCTTCCGCTCCGTCTGCTGCCATCTCTTCTTCCCTGCGTTGATAATACAACGCTTCAGCATCGAAATCAACGTCGGCTTCGAAGACGACGTTGAAGGGTTCCCGAGTTGACGGCATGGTGACTGGTCGAGAAATGTGTGGTGTCGAGTTGCCGTGGGTGTGTTGTCGTTTGGTCGGGAGAGATGCTGCTGGTGGACGTGTGCAGGGGTTGCTGTCCTGCACACTCGGGACAAACTCCGCAGCATGAACGTTCAAGTGCGGCTCGAGTCTATGCACTTGTGCACCAGGCACAAATTGGCTCGCTTGGACGTTGAACGTTGGCGGAGAAAGTGGTTGTCGCGATGGGCATAGTAGGTCTTGGTCGCTACTATGAGTCCTGAGAGAGGGAGTATGAGCAGTGGGGGAGCTTGAATATATATATTTAGAGGGCATCAGCGAGCCTTGAGCAAGGAAAGGACCTTGTGTTGGTTCCTATATCACATTAGCTAACCCTTTTCGAGTGGTTGAGGGTCTCATTGGTTACCATTGCAGCCGAAGACGAAGAAGTGGAGTAAGTGTAGAAGGTGTCCATTTGGATTGCTTCAAGACTTGTGGTTTGAGTTTGATAGTGTAAGGACCTGGCTGGACCGCGTCGAGAGATGGTTAGATGGGTATCTGGCTCGGGTCAAAAGAAATGTTGGGAATGCTGAGAGATAAAAAGGTTGATGGCGATGAAAGTTGGGATATTTCAAGGGGCGCGCCGCATCACACTGTCCAGCTGCCTAACGAGGCAAGACACAAGAGTATTCACTTGTTCAGATTGGTATCTGCCATCATGTTCACCAGCGGAAGGTTGAAAGGGCCGTGTGACACTCTCGGAGAGTGAATAAAGGGTCTTGGGGGATGGTCCAACTGCCTCCAGATACACAGCATCCTCCATTCCAGTATTCACTTTTCTTTCCTCACCACAGACCGGTTGATTTTTGTTGTACATGGGCTCGCACATGACGGGGATTGATGGGAAGTTTTAAGCATCTGCCAACAGTCGCGTCGTGCCATACATATACCCGATTTCTGTTCGTCTCTCAACCTTCACCAGTTTTCATGTTAAGTGACATTTGCACAAACTGCTCGCTTGGGGTCACGGCGACATTGACAGTGTGAATCCCGCGTTTGCTGGGCGTGCATCCTCCACCCTCGTAGTTTGGTTGATCTGGCACCTTGGTGTAGGAGCACGCATGTTGACAAACCACCCTGTTTGTTTGACAAAGGTTGCAGGGTCGCAGACTCAACAAAGATCCAGGTGCAGCTATTGTCTTCACCATGTCACTAGTACACTGGCTGGCAACCCAAGCGGACGGAGCTTGCTATTGCTGACATGGGACAATGGAAGGACTCTCAAGCTGTTCGACAGTCGGAGATCTCGCGGACCAAACCATGGGAGGTTGGTTTTCCATCAATTCTGGAATGTCTGTATAATTTAGGATCTTGAGTTTGTGATATCTACAGTAATTAGCACACTGGTTTTCTGCATCCATGTCTCGGTTCTGGCCCCTTAGGAGTTGTCCTGGAGCACTGGGAGATTCGCTGCTTTTCAGGAGTTCGGATGGGCCACAAGAGCTGGCAGCAAAGGTCTTGCAACAACGTGGCTTCAAGCCTGAGTGAGAGCCGTTTGTTACGCATTCAACTGGCACGAGGGAGAGGAAAAACTTTGTTGATGATTGATGAAAGAATGTGCGAATGGTTGGTTGAAGTTGGATATTGTGGTGTTCCGACTTTGGGTGGACGTGGCCCGTGCGCAGCCAGCAGCCAACATTCCACGAGGCTCGCCAATCAAGACTCGACAAAGAAAGGACCAACAATTCCCATTCCCTTTGTTGAATAAACTTTCCAAGAAATCAAATGTAGAGAGAGACATGGATTATCTGCTCTTCAGCATTACAATGGGCACTTCTCTTCTATGTTTGATAATGTCCTTCCTAGTTTTCTAGACATCAAAGGACACGCAACCCGCCCACCAGCAACACCCTTCATACTGTGTTCCCTACCAAGCCCTCAGCTCTGCGATCCCCTCAACTTGGCTCACAGGAGACTGCCATGATGTAGTAATACTCGGAGAAGCAGGTCCCCAAGTGAGTATTGGCCGGGTCATCAATTCTCAACGACCATTCTCCGGTACAATCGGGCTGCATCCACATGGTACATGCTCCTGCGCACATCCCCATGATTAGCCCCTGACAGTGACAGGAAGACGACAGTAATCTGGTAGTGCTCACCAATCCAGCTGGAACATTCATTTGTCCACACATTCTTCATGCCGGTTGCCAGGGCCATGCACCCGGTAGTGGTTGGATAGACAAGCTGTTGATAGCTGACATTCTCGCCGCAGATCTGCCACCTGACGTTAGCCTGTTGGCAAGCGAGTGGGCTGAGAAGACAGAGCATCCTTCCAGTGTCATGTTGACTGTCTTGCAGGGCTCAATGTGAACTTACAGTTGGGCTGAAGTCCCAGACACAACCGTTAGAACCGACATCGGTGATGTTGGTGACGGGAAATGGCATCGCCGTGCTGGTCAAAACTTGCAAGGAAAGGATGCTAGCAAAGATGCTGATGAAGCGGCTGAAAATGAGTTCGAGCATCGTGATTTAGGAATCTGCACAGCAGTACTTTTTCTTCGATGTCGAAATAAGATATGAGGTCGGACAGGCACTCCAGAGATTTGAAATGTCATACGTTACAAAGAGGAGCCATGGCATGCCGTATTCGCTTCTCCAGCACTCGAAATGGCTTCTACGACCTCACTCATAGTAATTTGTCCCAGGATTGTGGCCAGGGGTTCACTTATAAAAGACGAATGGAACCTCTTCAAACCACAAAGGAACCCCGTCAACTGGCATCGTAGCGCATGAGACACGGGGCTCCTCGAGCACAACGGCAAACGGGGGGAGCCTGGCCAACGTCTGCACAATTAATTGTGAGTTGAAATGATCGATTCGATGGAATGATTGTTTAGTGGGCGGATCCATGATACGAGACGATTGCGGTTACAGCTCGACCTCTTCGCAGTGTTTGGCGATTGGGATTGTTTCAAAAGTGACGTCGAGATTCCCGCCTCGACTCCCCCGCCGACCGCATTATTTTCATCAAATCTTGGAAAAGAACCTGGCTACCTGGTCAAACACTGAACAGGCTTGGCCCTTCTGACCTTCTGTGTGCTTTGTGTGCTTTGTCCTTGTCTGCAAGCTCGGCCCTTTTCAACCCTGCCTGGTCGCGATTGAAAATGACAACCTCGGGCTGTGCGTATGTACGACGAAGCCTTCGGCAACCCGCATGGCACACATTTCATTCTCGAGTCCTCACGACCTAATCTACAGTCACCGTCCTATACCCATTATATGTCTCTGTCAGATCCCAGTCAACTTCAAGTCCCTCTCCTCCACAATGCCGTGAAAGCGTCGACACCAATGCCGCTCGCCACTCAAGAGTCAAGCAAACCTCGAGCAGAAAAGAGTGTGGCGACCCTAGGGCAGGGATGGGCAGATACCATTGCCAATACGTCTTCACGCAAACATTTTACCCATGGAACTGTCTGTGACGAATTCGATGGAGTCAAAGAGTTTTAAATGCTTTCGATGCAGGCTACCGTCAATCCCAGATTTCGACCTTCGCGTGGAGGCACATGGCAAGGACATGGCATATTCACGCAGAGCACCCGCCTCGCATGCATTTTACATGGTCCACATCACCTGGAAGCGAGCTCGACATTCCCGACAGGCTGGAGATGTTGGCTCAACAATCGAAGAGCAACTATAAATCAGCCAAGTCGAATGTCCAGGTTTGAGGGTTGACGGTGCTGCCAGTCGATCAGCACTTCGTGCGTGTTCTGGACTGATTTCTCTTTGAATTCACATCTCATCATCCCGAATTTTGATTGCTTCTTGGGCAGATCCCTTTGCTACCCGCCTTCTTCTCGGTTTCCGCGACGGCTATCCCGTGTCTTGCCGCATGTGCCTCGAGGATGTCCAGTTTACCACAACAACGGTATTTATATCGCTGGCACAAGAACTGACACCTGAACCTGATCTGTCTCAACTGCCATTGTCCCAAAACTAAGCCGCCTCAACATCAGGATTCCTGCTACAGCGACATGTCTGCAGTTCCGTGCTCGCAATGTCATCTCACAACACTCGGGCTTGGTGGACGGGGGGCTCATCTGGTTATCCCATCAATAGTTGCACCTATTTTGGGCTTTGTGCTCGTGGCAAATCGGATCTATTGGCGTATGAGGATGCTGGGCAGACTCGGCTCGGACGATGTGACGACCATCCTCGCCTTGGTAAGTTGGCGTGTTCAAGACATGTTGGATGCGGTCTCACCACTTCGCAGGTGTTCCTTGTCGTCCAATGCGGTGCTTCTGTTGCGGCGGTGGACTATGGATATGGCCGGCCATTTGACCTCATCAGTAAACAACAAGCTGAACAGGCATTGAAGGTAGGACTGGACTCTATATGCTTTGGCTGACGACTCTGACATTGGGAAAGTGTTTCTTTCTGCTCCAGATATTCTATAAGCTTACCATCAACTGCACCAAGCTGTCAATGCTCTTCCTATATCTCCGCATATTCACCGACCGCATCTGGTTTGTTCGAACCTGCTGGATTTTGGTCGCCCTTGTAATTGGTGCCTGCGTCTCTTTCACCCTCTCAACCATTCTCCAGTGCTCTCCAATCTCGCGGGCATGGGAGCGCTGGCGGATTGATGCGAGTTGTGTCGACATCTATGCTCTGTGGTATAGCAACGCCATCTACAACATTCTGACGGATTTCGTCATTGTCTTAATGGTGCCGCCAGTTATATTCAGACTCAAGTTGCCGGTGCGGCAGAAATTGGGTCTGACTTGTGTCTTCGGTTTGGGTCTGATTGTGTGTGCTGCATCAATTTCACGATTGACAACGCTGTACTCTTCCGCCTATGGCGACGACATTACCGCTGGGTCACTTGTGTCAACAATTTGGACCACGATCGAGGCCGGGTTGGGTGTCATCTGTGCCAATCTGCCCATGATACGAACGCCGCTTCAACATTTCTTCCCAAAATTGTTCCCTCCAAGGACTGGAACAGATCACATCCCTAGTACAATTCCTTCTCAACGAAGTGGCCAGGTCAGCGGCGAAGCACTAGCTTCTCCCGCAAGACTGATTCCGCCACCCATTCCTGTACGCAAGACAAGCCTTACAAACCAACCACGCGTCGGTAGGATTTCAGAAGCCAGAGGGATGCAGAACCAAAGTAGGCTGCACGGGGACATGGTCAAGTTGCACAGCAGCAGCAGCAGACTAGCACATTGCCAGGACCTTGAGATTCAGGCAGGATACTCGGACTTCTCGAGCCATCCAGAGGTTGGTTTGGTACGGACGAGAGAAGTGGACTGGTACGCAGAACAGCAGCAAATTTGGTCACCGTAAATTCGTCATGGCTAGGTACAATTGATCTGGGTGGAAACATTATGACAAGTCGAAGAGCTGGCTAGTGGGAACTATTCGACATTCCTAGAATGAGTAGCAATGTCTCGCGTATCTGATCTGGAAGGGATTGTGAAGGTCAGACAGAGGGGCAGCATCAAAATAAACTCCTGCTCGAGAAGCGACCACCAGCGGCCAATCAGCAGACATGCCAAGTTGACTCGGCGAAGTTGCCACAATAAGCGTCTTGGCTGCGCATCGATTGGCAACGATCCTGATCCTGATCCTGATGGAGGAGCTCCTAGACTCAGGATCAATTCATTCAACAGCTTCAGTACCCTTCCACAACACTGTTGGAGGCATTTGAGTCCCATGTAAGCTGTCGAGAAACAACTGGCGTCCACGAAATTGACCAAAGTACTCGAACAGCTCGAAATGTCGTTCGTCATCCGCCGAGCCGTCTCAACCCTGGTTCCTCCGAAGGTAAAACCTCGACTTTGTATCTCTGTTCTGCTACCAATCTGGATTTTGCTGACTCGGATGGTATAGGTTGCGAACCCAGAGGTAAGAATCTTATCGACTGTTTGAACCCTCTCTACCGAGCATTTCCTGCGCGCATCGAGCGAAGTGGCAGCACGACACGTCCTCGATACCTGACACGCTTCACACTGCTCACGGACAACATCATTTTCGATGAACAAGATCTGACGGATGATTGCAGGGCATTGGAGCTGCCAAAAATGCCGTCCGAATGGCGAGAATAGCCAAATTCTACGAAAAACTACCAAAAGGACCTGCGCCAGCACGAGCACCCGGTGGACCGCTAGGGTGGTATCAGGCAAAATACTTTGGCAAGAATCCTTCAGCAGCTCGTACGTCTCTTCCGCGCGACACTCGGCTGGATAGAACATCGTTGAATGGCTAATCTTGTGGCAACAGCTATCTGGCACGTTATTTTCGGGATCATGGCAATGGGTTACAGCATGGAATACTATTTCCATCTGAGTATGTGCTGCCAGACTAAAGCATCAGAGCCGGTCTTGACTAATTGCGCATGTAGGACACCACAAAAACAATGCTCACTGATCGATACTGCATTGAAAGGAGGGTAGTCACTGGTCATCGACTTTGTACATAACGCCAAAATAAACCTGTTGAACTCGCGGAAAGGCGCATTATCAAGACCTATTTGCTCTCAGACCATATTCCTTCCTGGTCGCTTCTTTGTTTCCACTTTTGCACCTGTAGCTCCGTGCTAGAATCTCAGACCCTCCGTAGTGTTCTGAGGGCATGGAAGACTCCGTTTGCGGTACCCTCGCAAATGGTGAGTCAGAGAATTGCGGTCGCGGTCTGCGTCTTCATGGCCCTCCTTTCCCAGACAATGGTCAATATACCACAGCGTATTCGGCGAATGTAGAGATGGGATAGCACAAGTAATGAAATGGCTTTCGAGGACGAAGTAAAAGTTTGCTGAATGGATGAAATGCGGCTGCTGTACGAGGGCGCGGACTACAAGTACTGTTTACGCTAATTCGAATGACAAATACTACTTACTGTGACAGAAGATTTTCTAAGCTTATAGGCACTTATACCTATCTCCTAGCTACAAGTTAGAGCTAATAGGCGGTAGCTTAGTCTATATTTTCAGTCTTGATAGGCGCTGTAGGTACCGAGGATTGAGCTCCGATATCTCCGGGGGCCGCTGTAAGGGGCAACGAAAATAAAGTCTTTTGTCTTTTGATCAGCTTGTCATTCTATTACTAGCGTTGACAATACTTTTGGTGCGCGTCTCGGTACAAAGACGAGCGCCAAGGCGAGGTTGCCGCAACCCGACACGACGGGCCGTCGACTTCAAAGGCGCAGCCTCTCCCATCTCAACTGACTCAACAACCACCATTTCTTCTTCTTCCACACCCTTGTACCCCCTTTTTGAGGTGTTGTATTACTTCTTTCGCCTCTCCTCCTCGAATCCCGCACCGAGTCCCCTCCGCGACCTCAAAGCGCAGTCGTGCGTTGACGGGCAAAAACCGACAGGCTAGCAACCGTGGCAGACTACGCGCAGTAACAGGTACTCTCACGCCACCGAATCAATACGAATCAGGCATTCTAACCATTCTCCTCCTTTGTCTAGGTCCGAGTTTGTTATGGCAGAGCAGAGAGCACAAGATGTGGTAAAC